GAACCAATGGCCTTCAACCTAAAAGCGATGGCCTCCAACCTAGAAGCGATGATCCGCCAGAATTCAAGAACTTGAGGCAATCCATGGGATATCTTTAGCACCTCGATGCCATGTTCTGGGCCAAATGAACCCATGCTGCTCGGAAAATGAAACCCAAAAAATTACTGATTTTTGTTCACATGCAAAGTGTCAGAGAAGGAACTATATGTGCACCATGCGATAGACTCAAGGCAATTCAAAATGGACCTATACCCATTTCGGACCATGTGTGGTATTGTTTACTTGGTTGACGCTGCATGAATCCCATGCCCGTGCCTCACCTACAAAGGCCGGGGCGCCAGTGGAGCACTCGAGCCTGTTTCTCCTAGCGGAGCAGCCAATCACGCTAAGCTACTTTGGGGGGATACCGCCGGTTTTGCAAGTTATCACACAGGGTGAAACCATCTACAAATTCCAAGGTAGGCCAACCGTGGGCGCTTGTATATCATTACAAAATCTCATAAATCAAAAACCATCGAATCTAAAAAACTGAACACTTCCAAGGACACCCCAAGACAGAATTCAGGAACACATTCGTTCAACGAACACTAAAGACTAAAGACCCCCTGACAACGGCTAAAGTGAGGTAAACCGAAAGCCCAAAAAACAAAAAGACATGGCAGTCCTGGGAGTGCTTGCAGCACTTGGCCTAAAGCGAGTTGTACTTGTACTTCCGCCGATGTTGACGATCATAGCGCCGATGCTGACGGCGGTTGCGGCGGTTGTACCTGGCGGCCGCTCGCACGCGCGGACACTAAGAATGAAGCTCGAGTCCGAACTGAAGTGTCGGTCACCCCCCGTGGCTTAGCAACGTGAAACCTGCATTGGACACACCATACGGCTTCACACCTTCAACCACAGCCAAGATGTTGAAGGGTTAAGTGGTGTCCTTGAGACACAAGATTCATCTTTGGTGAAGTTGTGTGGGTGGGTTAAGACCCTGACACCAAGGGATGGCAGAAAGGAACGTGAGCTTGGCGGTGGTCGGTTTCCAGAAAGACTCGTGAGACTTTGTCTTGCTTGCCATGAAGGTGCATTGGGCTCCAGCTTCAACACTAGAACACTGCCAACTTGAACCACAACTCACTGCCCACTACCCGGAAGACGCAGCCTCAGAAGAGAACAAAACGAGAGGAAGTAAAGCTGAGCTGTGCTGAACATCCTCCCTACGTTGACGCCGCCGCCGCTTCCATGAAAATCCAGATGTCCAAATACTTTCCCAGCGGTTGCAGTTCAGGCTTCAACTTTGCCTTACTGCAATATAGTGCGTGCCCATGCAACGCACAAGATCGGACGGACATTCTTTGGAAGGGGTCATGAAAGTTGAGCATCCCTTGCATCCAAGGGCGATGACTGTTGAGCCTCTGGACCTCCAGTTAACCTGTCTATACCTTCAACCTGGCGATGGCCGATGAGACCGGAGGCGAACAAGGTGAAACACACCCTGCTAAACAATTTAAAGACCGAGAACATGGCAGCTTCGAAATGCTCAAGCCCTCACAACATTTGCTTAGGACCGCGGGTTGCTGACTCCTTGGAATTCAGACCAAATACTTTAAGAATACCGACACCCATATAGTCTAAATAATTTATATAAATATATATATATATATATATATATCAGCATACCTTTTACAAAGAAATCGGCCCAAGAACCTAACCCCAGACTCCGAGTTATTGAAAAGATTCAATAAGAATCGAACATGTCAACAAGACCCTCTCATTTCAATAACTATTGTAAAATTTGTATTATACACAAATAAAAAGTAATTGGTTTGAAAGTTGCCAAAAATATCGAGCTTATTGGTTTGTGAGGCGCAAGCCAATAAGGTGTCTTATTGGTTTGTGTTGCGCAAACCAATAAGAAGTTTTTGGCTTACTATGTCATACTTTTGACAAGTTTTCTGGCTTGATGCCAGGAGGTGTTTCTGGGAGGCTTTGTACAAGCAAGGCTGGTGACCCAAACCACCCAAATCCAAGATGACCTTCTGACAACCCAAGTCCAAGCTGATGTCTAAGGCTGGCCCTTGCACAGGCTTGCCAGGAATTGTAGGTAGCCAGCTATTTGTCAACCCTTGCTCATGGGTGAGAGACTTTGAAAAGAAAGCAACTGCGTTCAGCTGAAACAAGTTGAGAAGAAAGCAACCGCAATTATTGTTGAAAAACAATTGCTTTTTTACTCAGAGCTGAAAGAAAGCAATTACCCTTGCTCAGGGCTGAAAGCAATTGAGAAGATAGCTATTGCCCTGGCTCAGGGCCAAAAGCAGTTGAGTAGCCATTGCCCTTCCTCAGGGCCAAGATTGTGGAGAAACAGTTGCTTTTGCTCAAGGCCAAAAACAGCAATTGCCCTTGCTCAGGGCTGAGAGGAGCTCCTATAAGGCCATGCCAGGGCAGGAGGGGAAGGTTTGGTGAAGGCTCAGTCTTGTAGGTCATGGCCTGAAAGCCTCAACTGGGTTGTGAAGATGGCGCTGCTCCATCACTTGGTAGACCTTCTCCAGGTTCTCCAGACATCTAACCCTTGAGAGGGTGTATTCCTCGAACTTGTTCGCGGGGTTGCAGAAGGAGGAAAAGCTGAGCCTGGGTATGCGATTCGAACTGTCTGTGCAAAGTTCTTGGTACTGCTCCATGATCTTCTGGAATAGTTAGTGTCTTGGGCCTGGCTTCTTGTGTAGTGATGACAAGGTCGAACATCACATTTGCACAAATGTGGGACGCCACACCTTCATCAACCACATGCAGGAGATCATAGGCGAAGCTTTCACCCACAACTCCTGGCACCGATGCTATCCAGCGCACAGTTGGGCATGTACCTTGGTGTTTGATGATTGTACTTCTCCAAGCTGCTGTTGCTCGGTAGTCATTGTGTGGTACATCTGATTTGTTTGCAAAGCAGGAAAAGCAACGCTGATTGCGGCTGGCTGCTGGGATCTTGTACCCATTCTGGAAGTATTCTCCATCACCTGTAATGAAGCTCGAATCCGAACTGAAGTGTCGGTCACCCCCCATGGCTTAGCAACGTGAAACCTGCATTGGACACACCATGATGTTGAAGGTTTAAGTGGTGTCCTTGAGACACAAGATTCATCTTTGGTGAAGTTGTGTGGGTGGGTCAAGACCCTGACACCAAGGGATGGCAGAAAGGAACGTGAGCTTGGCGGTGGTCGGTTTCCAGAAAGACTCGTGAGACTTTGTCTTGCTTGCCATGAAGGTGCATTGGGCTCCAGCTTCAACACTAGAACACTGCCAACTTGAACCACAACTCACTGCCCACTACCCGGAAGAGACGCAGCCTCAGAAGAAAACAAAACGAGAGCGAGTACAGCTGAGCTGTGCTGAACATCCTCCCTACGTTGACGCCGCCGCCGCTTCCATGAAAATCCAGATGTCCAAAATTTTTTCCCAGCGGTTGCAGTCCAGGCTTCAACTTTGCCTTGCTACAATATAGTGCGTGCCCATGCAACGCACACAGCGACTGCGCAACGCCTCTCAGCTGCATTAAAGGACAAGATCGGACGGACATTCTTTGGAAGGGGTCATGAAAGTTGAGCATCACTTGCATCCAAGGGCGATGACTGTTGAGCCTCTGGACCTCCAGTGAACCTCTCTATACCTTCAACCTGGCGATGGCCGATGAGACCGGAGGCGAACAAGCTGAAAAACACCCTGCTAAACATTTGGATGACTGAGAACTTGGCAGCTTCGAAATGCTCAAGCCCTCACAACATTTGCTTAGGACCGCTGGTTGCTGACTCCTTGGAATTCAGACCAAATACTTTAAGAATACCTTTTACAAAGAAATCGGCCAAAGAACCTAACCCCAGACTCCGAGTTAATGAAAAAAGATTCAACAAGAATCGAACATGTCAACAAGACCCTCTCATTTCAATAACTGTTGAAACTTTTTGTAATATAAATCAAAAAATGTTATTGGTTTGAAAGTTGCCAAAAATATCGAGCTTATTGGTTTGTGAGGTGCAAACCAATAAGGTGTCTTATTGGTTGGTGTTGCGCAAACCAATAAGTTGTTTTTGGCTTACTATGTCATACTTTTGACAAGTTTTCTGGCTTGATGCCAGGAGGTGTTTCTGGGAGGCTTTGTACAAGCAAGGCTGGTGACCCAAACCACCCAAATCCACGATGACCTTTTGACAACCCAAGTCCAAGCTGATGTCTAAGGCTGGCCCTTGCACAGGGCTTGCCAGGAATTGTAGGTAGCCAGCTATTTGTCAGCCCTTGCTCAGGGGTGAGAGAAATTGAAAAGAAAGCAACTGCGTTCAGCTGAAACAAGTTGAGAAGAAAGCAACCGCAATTATTGTTGAAAAACAATTGCTTTTTACTCAGAGCTGAAAGCAATTGAGAAGAAAGCAATTACCCTTGATCAGGGCTGAAAGCACTTGAGAAGCAAGCAGTTACTGTACCCTTGCTCAAGGCTCAAAGCAATGAAATGGGAAGCAATTGTCCTTGCCCAGGACTGAAGGCAGGAGCTGGTGAAAGCAGTTGCCTTTGCTCAGGGCTGAAAGCAATTGAGAAGATAGCTATTGCCCTAGCTCAGGGCCAAAAAGCAGTTGAGTAGCCATTGCCCTTCCTCAGCGCCAAAATTGAGAAGAAACAGTTGCTTTTGCTCAAGGCCCAAAACAGCAATTGCCCTTGCTCAGGGCTGAGAGGAGCTCCTATAGGGCCATGCCAGGGCAGGAGGGGAAGGTTTGGTGAAGGCTCAGTCTTGTAGGTCATGGCCTGAAAGCCTCAACCACAAGCCCAACCTGAACCTCCAAAAAACCTTCTCACACACTGCCCAGGCTGGAGTGCCATTGGGCACGCTGACCATGAAGCCAACCATTGCCTCCCCACTGTATGCGCTGACATACTTGGGGTTGAGAAACTGAGCCTGCTGAGGAAGGTGTGCAAAAAGGTGGTGCTTGTGCAGTGTGCAAATATTTTTCCCAGCGGTTGCAGTTCGGGCTTCAACTTTGCCTTACTACAATATAGCGCGTGCCCATGCAACGCACACAGCGACTGCGCAACGCCTCTCAGCTGCATTAAAGGACAAGATCGGACAGACATTCTTTGGAAGGGGTCATGAAAGTTGAGCATCACTTGCATCCAAGGGCGATGACTGTTGAGCCTCTGGACCTCCAGTGAACGTCTCTATGCCTTCAATCTGGCGATGGCCGATGAGACCGGAGGCGACACAAGGTGAAAAACACCCTGCTCTAAACATTTTAATGACTGAGAACTTGGCAGCTTCGAAATGCTCAAGCCCTCACAACATTTGCTTCCCTATAGATCGGGTTAGACAATTTCCTGCCTAATAGTCAATATACAATTTTTTACTATTTAGATAAAAAATGTCTTAAAGTTAATTTGAAAGTCAATTTTGAAAGTTAACTTTTGAATTTTGACTATATTCTGGCCTGAAGGTTTGCTTTCAGCATTGTTGTGAAGAGATGGAATCTGGACACTGGAGTGTCACCTGGCTTTAGGATTATTGTGTGGTAGTGTCTTTGAACTGAGCTTTCTCTTCTTGGGTTGTTGTGAAGGTGTTGGTTTTGGCCTGAAACTCTAAGAATTCTTTAGGAACATGTGAGTGACACCGTGTATAGGAATATTGTGAAAACTGTAGGATTGTTGTGGCACATGTGAGTCACAGTAGGATTGTTGTGGAAACTAGGACTGCTGTTGTGAGTGGCACATTAGGATTGTGGTGGAAACTGTTGGATTGTTGTGGGTT